AACCGGCAGCAATACTTAAGCGTGGCATCCACTGAAACCTCCCACCTGCGGACTCCGAAGCCGTCGGCCTGAGCCCGTCAGCCCGCGTGGTGCGGACGATCGGCGCGCTCCGCGGAGAGCATCTGACGTCGTCCGCTAAAAGGAGATCATGCGGACGCTCGGAATCCGAATTGGGAGCAAGGACGCTACTAGCGCTACTAGGGGCTCCTGGCATTGCTACTAGTAACCAGAACGCTACTAGATGGGGTGATTTGAAATTTGGCACCAGGTCTGCCCCTATCATGTGGGGATAGCCGGATAGCCATAGGAGTCGACGTCAAGTCGCCTCTCCAGTGGCAACATCAAGCAAAGGTTTACATCACGAGGTCGGGATCATCATGTGAGCGTCGTCACACCTCGCCTGTGGGAATCTCAGAAGACCGAAGAGAATCTGCTGATCTTGTGGAATGGAAATTGAAGAATCATGAGGAACAAACATCCAAACACACAAGAAACTCATTTCAACTCATGAAATCCACGTGAAAATCGCCAAGGCAGAAAACAGGCCGTTGCCACTGCCCGTCTTTTTATGGCCGCGAATTCCTGGTGGCACCTGGGCACCCCGGCAGCGGAACCTGCGACTTCGGCGGTCACGGACGTTCGGCAAGGTCCGAAGGATGACGCTCTTTGTCAGGAAGTCCCACAGAGCCACTGGCTCTGGGAGCAACAAGGTGCACTTGAGAGTGCTGAAAGGTGATCATTGGCATTCCAGAAACTGCTTCAAGTAAGTGAGCTGATTCATGGTACTCAGCCAGTGACTACGACAGAATGTCCGTCAGTGGTGATCAAAAGATCACATCGAAGGTATCATAGATGCAGCTTTCTCCAATGCTGCGTGTGCTTCACCAAAGGTTGCCCAGTCGACCTCCTGGCCCCACCCCCGACCGCCCAGCTACGTCCAGCTGCGAGGTGAAGCGAGAACAAAGAATACTGTAGCTTTGCGAAGCCAAAACTGCAAGTTAATCAGGTGATAAAGAAAGATGAGAATGGAAAGACAAGGACAAGAGATGACAAGAGTGAGAAGGTGTTGTTGTTGGAGCATCGACTGCAACAGGACAGTCCTTGGTCCTACATCCAAGGAAAGAACCTTCAGTTAGGCTACACTATAACTATAGATATCTACCAGCTTCTTCAAAGTGACCTTTTGATATTTTACCATGTATGAGGTCACTTAAACACTACATATATCAAAAGGTCACTTAGAAGAAGCTGGAGCTACTTTCGATAAACAAATGGGTCACTTAAACCATGGGAATTTTGAGCCATGACAGGGTTCGTGTATAAGCTTGAACTTCCTAGTGCACCAACAAGTACCCGACCACTGTTCCAATCCACACCTTCTCTCCCACCTGCCACTTCATCCTGGACGACGAAGCCATCTTTGTGGCAAAGGCGCGGGCACCGTACCGCAGAGACTGGCTGAAGGGCTGAATAGGTTAAGATGTTGTGTCTTTTGAACTAGCTAGAAGTCTATAGGCATCACCTCTTACGACGGTGCCACCGCACACAAACGAAAGATATCCAACGCATGATAACTTGCCGCCCCAATTTTTGGGGATGACAAATGCCAGCCCAGCTCTTCACTTTTCCAACCTCAAGCGCTTTGAGGACCCACTCGCCGCATACATGCGTGAACAAAAGCGTTCAACAAGCACAGCACACATGTGTGAACAAATCATCAATAGCCAAAGGCACATAATCCTCGTCCCCATATGTCGATAACCACAAGGGGCTTGCCAAAGGTGCTTGGTCAAGCGCAATGTGGTCTAGCCTCAATTTAAGTGCTTGGGTCATATGTGGCGTGCTCACTTGGGGTAGCCAAGGTTCTTATGCCATTTAGGTCTGATCTTCCATCGAGCAATATTCTTGGCAATGCTCTCTGCAGCAAGCCCTCAAGATGCTGTCAGTGCACAGTGAGTGGGGAGACAAAGTAACAAGAAAACGAACAGGCGTCAAGAAGCAATTCAGGGCCGAGTGTAGGAGGTAGTTGGCCGTCTGGAACTTTTTCACGCACTCAGGCGGTAAAACCAATCCATGGCACATCGAGGTAGCTTGCCGAAGGGCAACGGAATTCACAAATACTGCAGCACGTAGCCTGAGTCCGTGTTTTGATTTCACCCCTGAGTTCAGTTTTGCAAATGTGCAACGGATCGACCAGAACATTCAACCCAGGCTCTGAGCATGTTGATCGCCAGGGTTGGCTTGAGCCACCGCTAGGCAAACTCCCATCAACCAACGTGCCAAAATGACACTCTCCTCGCGTGAATCAAACGGTCGATCCGCTGATTTGCGTTAACTAATCACTGAGGTAGGGTCTGAGGCGTTAAAATGCTTTTGAGCCAACGTGGGGAAGACATTCTTGCCCACCAAGTGCTTCCTGAGGCAACTGTTGGAGTTGGAGGAAACACATGAACATTCACATACTTGAGCATACATGATGGAGCTTTGAGAGACAAGTTGCACCGAGAAGACTTTCCCTCTGTTTCCTGACTTCTTACAGCAGGAGTTGGAACAAATGGTCATGGTAGCTGACAAGAACAACTCATGAGAAACAACATGCCAAGAATCTGACACGCTGCTCCTTACATAGCTGTGAGAACTGTACATGAGCATAGCGGAGGCGGTCGTCCATTGAGCTGCCAGGCCACACTGCGTCGGTCTCGCATAGTTCAAGCAGAGCCTCAAAATGGGGGACCGTGGTTTACAGGCCTAGATGGTTTGATTTTGGAACAACGGTTAGTTGACAAAGGCACACTAGCAGCAGCGTCGGCCACCATGGTCAGGTCAAAGACATGGAGGAGATCAAATTGGATCATTTCAGGGTGGAACCCTGGGAGTTGAATCCAACAATTGGGCCCACACGTTTCCGTTATGAATTCATGAAGGCCGATCACTGTGTCCCTGTGCTGAGCTCCTGCTCCAAAGTGCGTGAACAAAAGGGGAGAGTTTGCATTCCGCGACGCCTTGCATCGCCAGCAGACCTGCTGACTAAGCCATGTCACTTTCATGTGAAATGCCTTGGCCATGTATTTCTCATCTCCTCGAAAAAAGGTCAAGATCCCTCTGTACCCCCCTGCAATGGGGCCTGATTTGTTTCGTCTCCGCTCAAGAGGTTGTGACCATGGCCCCACTTCACACCAATGGCCACACATGAGTTCACAGAATGACCACATTAGCCAGCTGTCGAGCACGTCTATGGTCTGATCACAGGATCGATTTCCATCCAGGCAGTAGCACATGTACCGGCTTTCCCAAGGCGAAACATGACCCACCGTGACGCTGGCAAAACTCACAACTGTAAAAGATCTCCGTCTATGGCACTCAGCATCATCTCCATGAAGAATTAAAGGAATACACTTCGATAGGTCCGTGTCCTCATCAAAAACAAAGGCAGGCAACACTATCTCGTGGAGCGCACTTGCAAATTATCATGCAACTAGGGCGCCGCATTGCTGAGGACTGGGTGTTGTTTAAAAAACTCTGTGTGCTCCATGCTCTTCCAGAACTTCAAGATCTCCTAAGGGATTCTGGAAGCCAGCGTTTAAGACGCTCACCACTATAAACACCATGCCAAGAAACCCCTTCTTCACCAAGAAAGCGCCGTTGAAACAACTTTTTGTCATAGTGGTAGATCGAAGAAAACCTCATATTGATAGGGGGTATGCAACCAAATGCACTGTAACATGTTTATAATAAGGGTGAGGCACACTTCTGACGGTAACAGCACATCCCAGGTGTCAGTGTAGTACCTTTCTTCCAAAGCCATGTCTTGCAGCACGACTTCCACCCTTGGTCCATGTATATGTTCATGTGTTTTCTATATTGGGCATGCACTCAATATAGAATTCACCCCTTTCGCTCTGACAAACTAATTTGCCGACGCAGGAACGGAAATGGTGTTGGAAGCATTTGTCGCCATGGTTGCCTTTCAAGCCAATTCCAAAAATTCCTGGGACCATTTCTGTCATCCTTCCTTAAGGCAACCAGTTCACGAAGGTTGGGCCTCAGTTGTTGAAGATTATATAGCCGACGAACGGTACGATAATGCCTGCAATAACATGCACATGCATTAGCCCAAGTTACGGAAGAAGTCTTCTAGGGAACCGCTGCTTGATGGCTGAGAGCATTCCCATCAAAGTTGAAACCGACACCTCAATCGTGTGGCACACCGATCTGAAACTACAATGCACATGCCACCATGTAAGCATAGCACCCGCCGACCAAGCTCTAGAAATGTTTCCACAAGGTCCATGGTTGCACACGAGAACTAAACGGGTTGCAAAACGTATACATCCATGATCGATGCAAGATAGTTGCACCATGTTCCCTCCTTTTTTTATCTAGTAGTGGCCTCTAATCGGGAATTACGAATTAGGCTGGTTGTGTTCCATGCATGCCAAATGAATTAATACTAGCTGACTAGATGCCACTCACAAACCCCTGGAGTGGCCCCCAACTGAAGCCACCAAGTACAGCGCGCACACCAACATGCCTTTGCAGGTGACGGCTTGCGGCGGCGGTTTGCGATCAACACTATGGCCACGAAGGCAAGCGGAAGTGGGTCCTTTTTCACGTCTAGGTGGTGGTTTCCTGATGTCCTCGATTCCTCGAAGGCCCCATGTTGAAACGCACGATCAATTGCGGCTGATCGTGTTCCCCTAATTGAAGCGTGCTGCCACTCAATGCCACCTTAGGTCCTAGTTTTGAGGGACAATCATGGACAAACAAGTAAGGGTTGACCCAATATGAAGACGCATGGCATGATCTAAGGCACACGCTAGCTGATAACAATTTGCTCAAGCATGAAGCCCATACAGCCCCACGAGCACTCAAAAGCACTAAGGGTGGTTAGGACAGGCCAAATGATCAGAAACTTGAGCAGGTTGCATGGAACTTTGCAGATTATCAATTCGATCATTTTTCATAACATCAAAGAACCAGCTAGCGCAAACAACTATCAACTATTTTTCATCGGGCCCATCACTTGAACTTGGATCGCTTCCATCGTGTTCAGCCTTTGCCTTACTCTTCTTTGGCTTCTTGCATGCTGACACACGCCTCTTAGCGTCACGGACATCTTGCTCTACAACTGCTAGCTGAGACTTCTTATCTTCAACCCATGAATACATATCTTCAGGGTCGACATCACTCAGCGGAGTGTTGCTTTTTGTAACTGCATCATCGCGAAGCTTCTCAGAAGTGGCGAGATGTGTCGAAAGCGCCCGTTCCTGCAAGTGAGCGGTTGCATAGTACGTTTGGTTCTATGTATATATATATATAAAAATCGATCGATATGGCATGTTTCTTCAAAATGACCTTTTAGTCTTTTGGGAGTCCCTGAGCGTGACCTCAAATCAGGATTTAAAAGGTCACTTTGAATAACCAGGGATCGATATTGCTCAACCAAGATTCCAGTTCGCTGGAGTTCCTGATCCCATAGGTCTTGAAATCTTCCAAGCATTGGGGGATATCTTTCACGATTTTCTTCCACCTTGGATCGATCGTTGAACTTTAGGTTTACCGTGCGACGCGTTTTGAATTACAATATAGTTTACTGACAAAAGCAGTCAGGGAACTTACTAGCAAGGTTCTTCGCTTCCGTCAGCGCTAGCTGAGCTGGTGATTTCTCTTTCTTTGGTTTCTTGCTTTGAATGCGCCCTGTCTTGAGGTCCATCAACCCTTGTGCTTCCAAGCTTTGGAGGCCAATGTTCAGCTGCTTGGCTATCATTTCTTTCATGGACGCTGACCGGACTCTGCCGCCTACCATCAAGCTAGAGTCTCCCCTCATACCTGACGTGGTATTCTCAGCAACTTCCTTAAGCACCTTGTACATTTTGGCCTCCTCAAGATTTGGACATCGCGGGTGTGGAACTCCAACTTGTCCTCGGGATGTCACACAGATATGTGATATGACAGCTATGGAAAAATGGCATTCGTGGTTGGAAGAGACAGCGGACAAGGGGCCTTTCAGGATTTCCTCTATGAACTTTTTGGCTGCTGAACTCTTTCCGTAGGTTTTGTAGAGTTGTAGTTTCGTGACCTTGGTCTTTGCGCTTCGGTGGTACTGGGTAACAGGTCTGTACAGCCAAGGTTGTACTGGGCAAGGGATACCGCTTTACAATCACATGTCACATGGATCGATGGCAATGCTAGGTCTGGTACGGTCACGTATCGGTCTGAACGAAGCTGCTCCGTCCACCTTGTGTACCGCTCTTCAACCGTGATGTCGTCCACTTTGCCGTCGCTCAGCAACCACTGCTTGAGCATACTCCATCTGATCAGCATTGGAGCGGGTTGGACGAGGAAAACGATCCCTATAAAACTTGAAATGTGTTTCACGCATATCGATGCATATCATATTTTGCGCGCCTCTCACTGTCAGAACATAGCTGGTATTTTGCGAGAAGTTGAGGGGAGCAGCTTTTGTGAACAGCACGGCCAAGGGCAGCATATTGTCGCTTGCGCTCACCCTTCTCCATACATGACGGGCTAGCCATGCTCGCGATCTTTTCTTTCTCTTCAAGGGTTAGGTTTGTAACCCTTGGTTTCCCGCCAGTACGTTTGGCTGCGGCCGATGAGGAGGCGATAGATTCCTGGGGGAGGGTTCTTCCAGGGGTGATCAACACCAAGGGTGAACAACCAGGACCTTCAAAGTGACCTCTGTGGAGTCTCTAAGTGACCTCTTTAGGGACCAAGTGACCTCATTCTAGGATCTCAAAAGGTCACTTTGAAGGTCCTGGAACGTTCAATCGCTCATACATGCATGGATCAGTCCTGATCACGTGTCGGACTGGCGTTTGGAGTCTGTGTCACCTCGAAGCTCTGCATCGTCCCAATCCGTTCCATCGGAGGCTCTGGTGAGAACAGCATCGTTGGCAAGCTGGAGAGGTCAGCCTGCAGATTTCCGGTTGGGTGGAGTGGGACTGGGTCTGTTGCATTAGATCAAAGCCCCAAGACCAAAACCCTGATCCAATGAATTATAATTCACCCTTGCCTCATCCGAGAGCCCTTCTATCTCCTCCTCATCATCTTCAAACCTCAATTTTTTCTTTTCAGGACTGCATCCTGTAGGACCTCCATTCTCACGTTTGCTGGTACCATTCTCCGCTGCAGCTTTGGAGACTTTGGTGCGCTTTCTCGCATCGCTACTGGATGCCATAGTTGAATCTGTTGAGCCAGCAGACTTTCGCTTTGCTTGTGCTTCTTCCACTACCTTTTCCTTTGGTGCAGCTGCTTCTGTAGTCTTTTCATCCTTCATGTCTCCTATGCTATCATTGCCTTCTGTCTTCTTAGCCTCCTCCTTCTTTGCCTCCTTCTCTGCCTTTGCGCTTTCTGCCTTTCTTCCTTTCTTGGCTTCCTTCTCCTTCTTCTTTGCATCAGACATGTCACCTTTGGCAACAGTCTTCTCACTCTTTGTCTCATCTTCCTTCAGTGTAGCTGCCTCTGCATGCTTTTCATCCTTCTTGTCTCCTTTGCTATCATTGCCTTCTGTCTTCTTGGCCTCCTCCTTTTCCTTCTCTGCCCTTGCACCTTCTGTCTTCCTTTCTTTCTTGTCTTTCTTCTCCTTCTTCTTTGCTTCGGAACTGTCAGCTTTGGCAGCA